TGAAGGAGAAGTCATGGTTTGGGATTCCATTCAGTATGGGGATCTGCAACATCAACAGCCTGAGGTATCAAGACATCTGTGCTGCCCATTACATTACAAACCACAGGAGAGGGACAATTCTCCAGCAGGATAGCGCTCCTCATACTTCAGCCTCCACATCAAAGCTCCTGAAAACAAAGCAGGTCAAGCTGCTCCAGGATTGCCAGCCCAGTCACCAGACATGAACATTATTGAGCTGATGAAGGAGGAGGCGTTTAAAATGAACACAAAGACTCTTGATGAACTCTGGGATCCTGCTGAAGGCTTTCTTCTTCATTCCAGATGACTTTATTAATCAGTGATGTGAGTCATGTCAGAGATGTATGGATGCAGTCCTCCAAGCTCATGATGGAGTCAGACACAATCTTCATTCTGTCTCCACTGCAGCAGGACTTTATATTCTATACTGGACATTATTTCTGTTCAGTGGTGACACTTTAGTCTGAGCAGAGTCAGACCGCACTGTCCTCATCAAATCAGTCAACATCAAGACATGATCATGAGCTCAAATAAGCAAAATCTAGAGGCCTTGAACTTTCATATAAGACACCTTTGATACCAAATGATGAACTAGAAGTCATGTTATAATTCAAGAACACATATTTGAGTGCCCAATAAAGCGCTATATCAATGTAAGGAATTCTTCTTCTTCTTATATTATGCATATGCAAACCTTATATTTGGCTGCAAAATGCATTAAATGCATGTCTGTGTTTATATAGAGATAATAAATATACAGAGTAGGTACACTTTTATTTTGGATGCATATAATGACATTGAACTGTTTGACAGCTCTAGTTGTGTTGGATTGTGTTCGCATGTCGTTGTCTTGATCAGGATCTAGAATGAGTGTTACTCTGCTAGACTGCTTTGACGGATGGTATTTGTGTCTCTCAGAGCGCAGCAAACAGACGGCAAAACTGACAGTCAAATCCAGTCAAAATCTGACTGATCCGGCTGTGAAGACGCAGATTCTCCAGAAGGTGAGCAGCTCTTGATAATGCCGTCAACACAGTAGGAATGTACAGTGCATTTGGAAAGTATCATAGAGCTTTACTTTTTCCATGTTTGTTTATGTTACAGCTTTATTCCAAAATGGATTAAACTGATTGATTTCCTCAACATTCTGCACACAATCCCCCGTAATGACCATGTGAAGAGAGTTTTTGAACATGTTGCAAATTTATTACAAATAAAAAAACCTGTAAAATCACATGTGCATCAGTGTTCACAGCCTTTGCTCAATACTTTGTTGATCACCTTTGGCAGTGATTACAGCCTCAAGTCTTTCTGAATATGATGCACAAGCTCTGCACACCTGTCTTTGGGAATTTCTACCCGTTCCTCTTTGCAGCACCTCTCAAGCTCTATCAGGTTAAATGGGAAGCGACGGTATGGAGCCATTTTCAAATCTCTCCAGAGATGTTTCATAGGATTTAGGTCTGGGCTCTGGCTGGGCCACTCAAGCACATTCACCGAGTTGTTGTTGTGCCACTTCATTGTTATTCTGGCGGTGTGCTTTGGGTCATTGTCCTGCTGGAAGATGAAGCGTCGCCCCAGTCTGAGGTCTCTTGTGCAGGTCTTCATTCAGGATGTCTCTGTACATCGCTGCATTCATCTTTCCCTCTATCCTGACTAGTCTTCCAGTTCCTGCTGCTGAAGAACATCCCCACAGCATGATGCCAACACCACCATGCTTCACTGTAGGGATGCTGTTAGCCTGCTGATGAGCGCTGCCTGCTGTTCTCCAAACGTAACGCCTGGCGTTCACTCCAAACAGTTCAGTTTGAGTCTCATCAGAGCAGAGAGTTTAGTTTCTGATGCTCTGAGAGTCCTTCAGATGCCTTTTGGCAAACTCCAGGCAGAGACTGTCTTCCGTCTGGCTGCTCTACCATACAGATGCCTGATTGGTGGATTGCTGCACAGATGGTTGTCCTTCTGTAAGGTTCTCCTCTCTCCACAGAAGAACGCTGGAGCTCAGACAGAGTGACCATCAGGTTATTGATCACCTCCCTGACTGAGACCCTTCTCCCCCGATCACTCAGCTTAGATGTCCGGCCAGCTCTAAGAAGAGTCCTGGTGGTTCAACATCTTCCACTGATGGATGATGGAGGCCGCTGTGCTCACTGGAGCTTTCAGAGCAGCAGAAATGTTTCTGTAACCTTCCCCAGCCTGGAGACAATCCTGTCTCGGAGGTCTACAGACAATTCCTTTGTCTTCATGCTTGGTTTCTGCTTTGTCATGCACTGTCAACCCTGGGCTCTTATATAGACAGGTGTAGCCTTTTTAGATCATGTCCAATCAGCTGAGTTGAGCACAGGTGAACTCCAATGAAGCTGCTGAAACATCTACAGAATAATCAGTGGAAACAGAATGAACCTGAGCTCAATGTAGAGCTTCAAACGCTGATTTACATCAGATTTTTCAGCTTTTTATTTGTAATAAATTTGCAACAATCTCAAACTCTTTGTTCACATTGTCATTATGGGGGATTGTGTGTAGAATGTTGAGGAAATCAATGAGTTTAATCCATTATGGAATAAGGCTGTGACATAAACAAACTTTTAAAAAGTGAAGCGCTATCAATACTTTCTGGTTGCACTGTTAATCTTTACTAAGGTCTATATTTTCAGGCTCGACACCAAAAATACCCATCAATGGATCTGGGTCATTGGAACGCTTTATATCTGTTCGTATGCTTTAGAAATCCTCTTCTAGCTTGGGACAAAACCAGAACAAATGAGCAGTGGTGACAGGTGACTGTGAACATGTACCACATGCAGGGCTAACATTTGGGTAAAGTTTTGCTCATTTAGAGTTAGTAAAATTTAGCCTAAGGAGATCCTTAAATTGAATTAAAGCATGACTAGCACAGAGTGAGGATGAATGTACCTGCATTAATAAAATAGCTATTGTTTTTCAAATATTCCTCATGTGATGTTTAATGGAGCAAGGAAATGTTCACAGTATTTTCTCTAATATTTGTTCTTCTGGAGAGTCTTATTTGTTTTATTTCGGCTAGAATAAAAGCAGTTTTAAATTGTTTTAAACCCATTTTAGGGTCATTATTATTAGCCCCCTTCAGCAATATTAGTGTTGGATTGACCACTGTTATACAATGACTTGCCTAATTACCCTAACTTTACCCTAATTACCCTAGTGAAGCCTTTAAATGTCACTTTAAGCTGTATAGAAGTGTCTTGAAGAATATCTAGTCTAATATTATTCACTGTCATCATGACAAAGAGAAAATAAATCAGTTATTAGAGATGAGTTATTAACACTATTATGATTATAAATGTGTTGAGCAAAATCTGCTCTCCGTTACACAGAAAAAAATTAATTAAGTAACATGATGGCTAATAATTCTGATTTAAACAGTCTATCTAAAGTTGAAAGCAGAAGTTTACATAGACTCTAAAAAAGGAAGCATAACCATTTTTATAAAAATGTCTGCTGGTAATTGATACTAAACGTTTACTATTTTAGGTCCACCAGGATTACCAAGATCATTTACATTTGCTGAATTCCAGAATAATGGCATTTCTTTGAGAATTTAGTATTAATTTCTAGACAGTCAAAAGTTTACACACATTTCCTTGGTCTTTTTTTTAGCTTTGCATTTAAACTGTGTAACTTCGGTCAAATGTTTTGGGTCTCCTTCCACAAGCTTCTCACAACAGTTTGCAGGAATTTTGGCCCATTCCTCCTGACAGAATTGCTGTAACTGAGTCAGATTTGTTGGCTGTCTTGCTCGCACAAGCTTCTTCAACTCTGCCCACAAATGTTCTATAGGATTGAGATCAGGGCTTTGTGATGGCCACTCCAAAACATTCACTCTGCTGTCCTTAAAGCACATGTGAACTCATTTGGCAGTATGCTCAGGGTCATGGTCTATTTGGAAGAGTCATTTGTGGCCCAGTTGTAATTTCCTGGCTGATGTCTTGAGATGTTTCTTCAGTATTTCTCCATCATGTTCTGTCTTCATGATGCCATCTATGCTGTGAAGTGGACCAGTCCCTCCTGCAGCAAAACAGCCCCACAACATGATGCTGTCGCCCCCATACTGCACAGTTGGGAGGGTGTTCTAGGCTTGTGCGCTTTCCCCTTTGTCCTCCAAAATGTCACACTGCTCATTATGGCCAAACAGTTCAATCTCAGCTCCATCAGAGCACAGGACATGTCTCCACACATCAGTCTTTTCCCAGTGTCATTTAGCTCATTGTAATCTGACTTTGTTGTTGATTCTGGCTTGTTGATTCTCCATGTTGTCACACAGGGAAGCAGTGTGTTTGAGCTTTTCCTATTCTACAGTTGTGCCTCACATTAACTCAAATGTTGTCAATCAGCCAATCAGAAACTTCCAAAACCCTGACATCATCATCTGAGCTTTTCCAGAGGCAGAATAATCTGATTGTGTGTAAACTTGACTTTCAAGAAGAGTTAGAACAATTTCTCAAACAAATATCTCCCTCATTATTCTGCTATTAAGCAGAACAGACACACATCTGATCATCCTAACTCACCTTAAAGAGACAAAGTTTAGTCACATGAACATCTGACTATGTAAATGCTTATGTGCCTTTTTATACAGTGGATGAACACTTCTGCTTTCAACTGTGTATATACTACAAGCTTTATTATTAAAAGTAATAGAAGTGTCTGTGTTTTCAGATTGAGCAGGTGATGAAGGAGAAAGGATTAATTAATTATCTTAAACTTGCCTGGAAAACCCAATCTGATGGAGACGTCTTTCAGAAGAGCCCGCAGAAAGGAGACACTCCACACATCTGCTCCTGAGGAAACTACAAAACCAGTTGCATTGATTTACTGTGGCCAGATTAAAATACAGTAAGAAATAATGAACGCGTTTTGACGTAATTATGCGATTTGGCATTGATCTATGTTTGATATGTTTACTGAAGTGTAGCACAGCTGTGTTCAAGTTCAACATATTTAAAGGAAAATAAATGTACAAGGTGCATTAATAACTCGTTCATCTGTTCTTATTTGCCAGTTAATAATGGACGTACATGTGACCATTCAAGCCAAAATAATCATTCAGCTTTAGTATTTGCATATTTGTGTTTAAAATAATGTTAATAATCTCTTCTCTTCTTTGATGTTTAGTCATTTTACACAACAAAATGTGTGTGGAAATGAGTGCAAACATGAATGAGTTTCTGTTTAAACACATGAATGCAAACAGCTTTAAACAGCAGCTAGTTTTGACCATCACAGAGGGTTTGAGGTAATTAAAGCAGTTTCTTTACACAATTTGCTGTGTTAAAGTTACTGTTAGGTTAGTATGTGTGCGTATTATATATTTATTTATATATATATATATATATATATATATATATATATATATATATATATACATTAGTGTTGTCAATCGATTAAAAAAAATTACTAATTGCACCTTTTTAAAAAAATTAATCGCGATTAATCACATTTAAAATACTGAAACTTGTAATTTTGGCTATTCAAATGTAAAATTGATGTAAACACAAGACAAAAACAATTAAAATTCAAAATATAATTGTTTAATAGAATTTTTGTTTAACTTGTAACACAGATTTCTTCATATAAACAACAAACCCACAATAAACCATCAAGATCCTGCTTGACAACCATATTTATTACAGGAATTAAAACACAGGCATGTTAATGACATTTAAATTTCAAAACAATCAATGCCAATAAAGAAAACATTGATTTCCATGTTGGATTCTAAGTGGACTGCAAAAAAATGCCAAAATACAGGAATTGCAGATATGGAAAATTAACAATTATAATAATAAACTATAGATGACAAACTGTTGCACTCATTGTAAAGTTTTATTGCTGTGAGTTGAGAACATTAATTATAGAGTAGAAACAATTTTGCTTAATCCTCCTTTACATTCATCCAGTTGCTAAGACTAGGAGTGTCCCGCAAGTGCACAGAGACTCCCAAATGCCCACAAATGAATGATAATTTCTTGCAAACCGGTCGTTAAATACATTGCACATCCCTCTCGCCCCTACTCAGATACGTCGCTCACTCCACCCCTGACACCCCTCAACGGGCCTGACACAGACACACACACACACACAGACACACACAACGCGCTGCAGACGTTTTGGCCCCAACGGCCTTCCATACTGGAGCGACTCCCCCCAGATTCAACACGCATGATCACGTTCATCAAATTTGCTTAAACTAAGCGTCCTAAAGTATTACTGTATTTCACAAGGATTCTGACACAACAGCGTGAAGCATACGCTTTCATTGCGTTTAATGAGGAAACACGCTAAACTTGGAGGGCGCATGCTGAAAGGCAGAGTAATGCCCTGTCTTTGACAGCTCGCGACTTCACCAGATGTTCTGAGTACATTTACATAAGACACCAATACTCCGATTTTAATATGATTAAGATTATACTCTTATTAAAAGTCTACCGTGTAGCCTAAGCAGCGATTTTATTACCTTAAAGGAACACCGAGTCACGAAATGCTGAGGATTTTCTTTCTGTTCGCCATGCGGTATCAACTTACAACAGAAGTCGAAAGTTAAAATCAGCTTCCAGAAATGATCAGATGTGCTCCAACATTAGGCACATTCAAATCAAGACTGAAAACACATCTGTTTAGCTGTGCCTTTACTGAATGAGCACTGTGCTGCGTCCGACAGATTGCACTATCATGTTTTTCTCTTCTTCTTCATTCTTTCATATCACATTTTACCTGTTTTTATGTTTTGTTTTTATGCATTTTTATTATTTGTTTTTTTTTCACTTTTATTTTACTTGTTTCTTTTATTCTTGTTTATGTAAAGCACTTTGAATTGCCATTGTGTATGAAATGTGCTATATAAATAAACTTGCCTTGCCTTGCCTTGCCTAAAAATGAAACACCCGAAACTGCATGAAACTCTGTAGAGCCTGGTGATGCGACTAATAGTTTTATACTGAAACTTGCCTTCAAAAAGTGCTTCCTTGGTCTTATCCACATTTATTGCATGTTGAACACACGTCCACCACAACAGGAAGTAAAAAAACCTGCAACTGCGTTAATTGCGTTAATTTTTTTAACGCGTTAATTATTTAAAATTAATCGCATGCATTAGCGCACTAATTTTGACCGCTAATATATATATATATATATATATATATATATATATATATATATATATATATATATAAAACATACATACATCCACACACACACGCACACACACACATATATATATATATAAAAACATACATACATACACACACACACACACACACACACATATATATATATATATACACATACACGCATATATCTCATTTAATGTGTATGGCCATATACCTAAAACGCTTCACCATCATGGGAGGGGTCTCTCCACACCACTATTTGGATGATGCTCCGGCAGCCACAGGACAACAGCGCCAGTAGGTCACCCCACACCAGCTATAGGGGGAGTGGAGAGACACTGACAGAGCCAATTCAGTGGATGGGGATTATCGGTGAAGGCTGATAGAGGGAATTTGGCCAGGACACCGGGGTTACAACCCTACTTTTTTCATGAGATTTGATAATGAGCACTGAGAGTCAGGAGCTCGGTTTAACATCTCATCTGAAAGACGGCGCTTACAGACAGTATAGAGTCCCCTTCACTATACTGGGGCATTAGGACTCACACAGACCGCAGGTTGAGCGCCTCCAGCACTGCCAGCAGCTTCCCATCCAGGAGGGTTAGTGTTAGTTATGTTACCATTGCTGTTGTATTTATTAAAGTGTTATAAATACTATCATGTATACAATATAATACACTTTAATGTATGTACACTACAGTGTCTACTATAAATTACTATAGTAGTTTTTGTTGATGGCTATAGCTGCACTGCAAAAATTGCTTTTCTTACATTTTTCGTTGTGTTTCTGGACGAGCAAAAATATTGTGTTGTTTTCAGCAATAATGAAGTGAGTTTTTTCTTAAAACATGCAAAATAATCATATTTCAAGGCAAAGACTCTGAGGTTACACCCCTACTCTTTACCAGAAGTGCCATGAGATTATTAATGACCACAAGGAGTCAGGATGGCGCTCACTTAGCAGTATAGATTCCCCTTCACTATACTGGGGCATTAGGACTAACACAGACCGCAGGCTGAGCGCCCCCTGCTGGCCATACTAACACCACTTCCAACAGCAACCTAGTGTTCCCATGTGGTCTCCCATCCAGAAGAAGGTCTCCCATTGCTGTTGCATTCATTAAAGTGTTGTAAATACTATAATGTATAGATGAATAACTGGTTTGTGAACATTCAGGATGCGAGCGCAGGGAGGTGGCAGAAAAAAAACGTGAGTGCTAGCATGAATGACATCCGATGCGGTACAGAGTTCGTTGTTGTATTAGAGATAAGTTATATTGCTTACATATTATATATATTATCTACATAATGCTTTCAGCGTATTATAACAGCTCGTCACCCAGTGATTGGGCAAAATTAACGTTAAAGTGAGCGGCGTTCATCTGACAGGTGCATTTGCGATAGCACCCTCCCAATGGATATTAAATAAGACGAAATGTCCAAGCATCCAGCCCCAAATATACAATCTCACTGAAGCTCCAAGTGATTTTACAAGAGAGAAGTTTAAGGCTTACAAATGTTTGGATGCCTACAATGTTCAAGAAATAATGCCCCATGATGACTAAACACTATGTAGAGCCAAACACAGAGGATCTGCCTAGCCTAAAACAAGGAAAGAAGACGGAGCTGTGCAAGGCCTGGGTCATCATCAACCAGCAGAACAACAGCATTCTGACAGTGAACTGCTCCGGTACGGCAGGGTATGTGAACACACATCTTTACATTTCACTTTATGCATTCAGTGTCCGCAGTTTAATTCACCACATGTGTTACATTCCATTGTGTTTTGAATGTATTATTGTGTTTGGTTTCTCTCTCTCTCTCCCTCTCCGTTCCTGCAACCTGTTTCTCAGCTAGGTGTGGAGGAGAGGAAGTTGATTGATTGCACCTGCTACTCGTTGCCCGGCAAGCTTAAAAGCCTGCCTGTTGCAAGCCACGTTGAAGCTTGCTTCCAGAGTGTGGTCTCTACCCTGCCTGGTTGCTCTATTGAGAAAGATTATTGGTGCTGTTGTGTTTAACTTGTTGAAGTTAAAATCTGTTGTTAAAGCCTCTGAAGCCATTTGAGCTCTGTTTATGAAAACTAACTTTGTGTTTGGAAGCCGTAGGGAGGTGGGTGCCATTTTATTTCTAAAACCCTTTTTCTCTTGTTTAGGTTTAGTTAGGGAGTTAGTGTACATTTCTGTTGTTGATTTAATTTTACTTTGTCAGTTTAGACAGTTTTACTCCCTAACTAGCTAGAGGGTATTTTTGTTTGTTTTCTCCCCCTCCTGAAGTCTACTGTTACTGTTGTACATTTTGTTAATAAATTATTTAACTTGAATTTGGTGTGTTGTCGTGAAGGCAGGGGACTGACCCACTCTCACCCCAACCAACATTTTTAAAACTTTTCACTGTTACTCCCACTCCTAGACACTTACCATCAGGGACGTAACACATATAACTGTGTTTGCTGAAATCATTGCTGCAACCAAAAACCAGTGATTGTGTGATTCAGCATAGCGTGAACTGACCTGTTATCACATGAGAACTGCACAGTCCAGCATTTCTAATCAGCTCCTCACTCCATTCAGCTCTTACGATGGCTGTTAGCCAAAGGCGTCTGCGGTTGGCATTTAAGCAGTGTGGTGTATGGTAAAAGTTACGTTTTCTATTTTTGGACTTTCGATTTTGGCATCCCGCCGCACAACACCACATGTTATCATTGCAACCGGCCATTTTTGCAACCGGTATGTGCGGTTGGAGCCGTGTGACGTAGGTGAGTAATTCCCCTATACAACATAATACACTTTACTGTATGTACAGTTATTATTAAAGGGTCACGAAACACCAGAACACATGTTTTGAGCTGTTGCCAGTGGTATATG